GCTGCGCCGGGAGGGAGGCGTCAAGACAGGTGTTGGCTGTGCCGGGAAACACACCGGAACCCATGTGCTCCCACAGATGGGACGTTGCCCACGCTGCCAGGGCAGACCCCAGAAAGCATGCTCTGTTTTGAGGGGGCACATGGCTGCAGCAGGGTGCCCTGCGTGGGGCAGCTTCTCCCTGGCAGCCCAGTCCCAGGGTTTCGGTGTCTGGGTGCCAGTGGACCGAGTCTTGGAGTGACAGCACGGTGTGATGCCTTGGGTGCTGCAGCTGCCAGCACCCTGCCTGCACCCATGGGGCAGTGGGTAGTGGGGTCATCCCTGCACCTGCAGCCCCCCTGAGTGGCACAGGACCAGGGAACAACCAGCCCTTCTTGGTGCTGTGGGGAGAGCTGTGTGCCCATCCCTGCGGCACAAGCATTGTCCCAATGTCTGCTGGCCCTGGGGACTAACATGTGGGGAGGGGAAGGGCTAGAAGGAGAAGTAGAGGAGAGCGATGAAGTCCTCCCGGAAAGTCCCTCCCGCCCCGGACTCTCTGGGGCTCCCTGTGCTCTGCCAGACAACCTACGCCCTCCTGGCAGCAAAACCTCCCAGAAAGTTTCCATCCCACCACCCCCAGCCAAGGATCTGACAGCTCTGACAGCATTGCCCACAGGGAAGCGCCAAGAGCAGTGCAAGCCAAAAAGGTTCCCCGTCCCCTGGCTCTGCGTGCCTGTTCCAGTGCTGCGTGGTCCCTGCACAGGCAGTGAAACTTCAGCCCAGTTTTGGAGGCTGCTTGGGCCCAGGCTCTGCGTGCTTAGGGCTTGTCTCAGTTTGATGGTGCCTGTATTTACATTTTATTACAGCCCAGCCAGTGGTGAGAAGGAAAGCTGGGAGAGATCGGAGAGTTTCTGCCCACCATCTCCTCCCCCAGGTGCTCTGGTCTCTCCAGGGACGTCCCTGCTGTCCCCAGGCAGCCTTGGCTGGACAGGTCTGGGTGGCGTCAAGGCCCCACCATCAGCACATTTAACCGCCCCCACATCCCTTCTGCCGGCGCCTGACCCCAGTTCCTGGCGCAGCCCTGATGCTGCCCAGCTGCGGGCAGCCACCCCGTGGAGCAGGCAGTGGCTGTGCACGTGCGCTGCCTGACCTGGGCTGAAATACCCCGGCTGCTCTCCCAGCCATTAACCGCTGGTTCCACTCTGATCATTAGCAGTGACTGATGCAGGAGGCAGATTGGGATGCACCTCTTTGAGTTTAGGGATTTGGTTTTGGTTTTAGGACTTGGTCCCTTCCTGGCCCACAGCCTCAGGCACAGCCTCTGGGCCCCAGCTGAGCTGTCCTCTGGCTCAACCCAGCCATCCCCAGGGCAGTCAGGGGCTCCTAAACCCCTCTGCAAATCCAAGCCTGAATTCAGCTTGTGCATTTTGCTGAGAAAAACAGGAACTGATCATTCCCAGTCATGCATTTCTGAAATAAGTCATTTCAGTTAAACCTCCCCCACCAAGGCTTTGCTTTAGCAGCAGCTTAAACCCACAGAGAGGTGGGCAGGGGTACGCAGAGGTGGCGGGGTGGGAAGGACCTCACCGGCCTCCCTGCTCTGGGCTGGATGGAGCCACACGAGCAGATTCCTCCTTGCTGTGCTGGTCTGGGTTTGGGCTGGCCAGGGGTGCCTGGGGGGAAACGCTTCCCCTCTCCAGCTGGTTTGGATTCAGACATACATTGGTCCAGCCTTGCTCACAGCTCCCTCCCTCCTAGCTCTCCTGCTGTGCCCCAGCAGCCAAGATTTATTAGTACAAATAGGAGCTAAAAGCCTGGTCTCAGTGGGGATGGGACAGAGTCAGGGATTTTTTAGTCTAGCCAAGTCTCCTTCATCCTTCTGGCATCATCTCCAAGCCCCTCTGCCCTTTGCTACAGATGCTGCAATCCTGCCAGGGAAGCATTCAAAAATAAAAGCTGCAAGGGTGCCAAGGCGAGGAAGGTCAGAGAAGCACCCACTGCAGGTACAGCCCTTCCCATGGCTGCCAGCATGGGGCTTGCTGAGATGTCAGACCAACAGCGACCCTGGCACTGGTACATGGGGATGGCTTTGCAGTGCTATTCTTCACCTGAGTGATGCCCTGGGGCTGGGCAAGTTGTTTTCTCCTCTGGGGAGGGGATAATTATTTAACAAGTGGTTTTGGTGCCTGCCAGGGGAGTACGTGCGTGGGTGCAGTTAGGGCTGGGTTGGGAGAGCCTGGACCAGGACTGGAGGGAGGAGCACCATGCCCCACCGCCCTGGGGACGGGGATGGGTGACTGCCCTGCAAGTGAGCCTGCGGGTGCCAGATCCCTGCCTGCTCTCCTGGCTCTGGTTGTGGTTCCTGATGTCAGTGGATCCCGAGGAAGCAGGGGGCAGCCTGGGGCTGCCCAGCCAGCAGGTCCCAGACTCAGAGTCAGGATTCAGAGCTGCATCTGGGATGGTTCATGCAGGTGAGCCTGCACACTTGGTGTTCCTGCTGTGGGGATGGAGATGTCAGCCTTGGTTCCTGGAGGGCAAACTTTCCCTGTGTCCCTGAAGCAGGGGCTTGGCGCATACCCCAGGCAGGGGACAGCAGGCTACCAGGGCACACTGGGCCCCTCTGCTGCCATGGAATGCTCTGGTCAGCACCAGAGATGGGCTGGCTGTCTTGAGCAAGCTGGGTGGCAGAGCACCCCACAGTGAGGCAGGGACCCCATCCCACAGT